TAGGCCTGTATTTAAAATAAATATTTACCACAAATTAAAGGTATCTTATATTATTAACTCATCAATCAATCCTTTCATTTATGTGGTAGGCCTGTATTTAAAATAAATATTTACCACAAATTAAAGGTATCTTATATTATTAGATATGTTAGTATAAAACATGCTTTAGTTTAGGAGTTATTGATACTTCAAGTGCAAAATGATGATATAAAACCTTGATAAAAACACACTTTTAAGTACTATTCAACCACCATGACTAGTGGTTGCCCTACAAATTCCTTCATATAATAGTAGTTGATCGTGCAATAATAGTCCAACAGCAGCGTCTTTCAGTTTCTCCTAATAGTAATGATAGAAGTTCCCCCTTCCATCAGCATCATCTTCTCTGCACTATGAACAAGTACTAGCAAGAGGTGCCTTGTCAACCTTTATCTTTTCATCTTATTTGCACCAGAAGTAGCGGTGAGGCACCTTCTTTATTAGCAAGCAGCAGATTCTCCCAATCGTGAGAAATCTAGCAGTCACATGTCCTCATTCTCTTGCTATTAAAGCATGCGGCCACCATCAGCAGTGCCCAATTAAGCCTTCTTTCTCCTGCCTCGTTCTGTATTTCTAGTTCTCGAGTGATTGGCTTGGACCAATGGCCAAGTTGGGCTGGTTGAGTCTAGCCTCATAAAAAAATAGGTCGGGTTTGGGCCTCAAGCCCAAACAGCTCTAACTATGTTTAGCTAAGCGTGTATTTGGCAAAACACATCCTTATGCCTTGTCTTTATAATTTATTCACATTTTATTTTGATATGTATCCAAACAAGTTTTTTTTCCATATCTAGAAATATTTAAGGATCTTCATTGATTTATTTATAGTCCCTCATGCTTTATTTTATTACATTTTGTTTTTTCTTTCCGCTATATTCTCAATATGTAGACCATTACTGTTAAATGCAAATATGTTATATGATGCTTTTTTTTTTTTTAATTCTTGTCTAAAAAGAGAAAATAAGAAAAAAATAGGTAAACAAAAAGAAAAGGCATAGAAAAATTGTTTCTTCTTCATTAAAAATCTAAAATTTTACGAACTTATTGATTAGTGTCAGTGTCAGAAATATCATATTTTTCTAACTTTGTGCAATATTTACTAATGCTAGAGTTAGAAATATTTATAGGTATTGTTCACTAACGTCAGAATCAGAAAGATGATATGAAGAACATAAAAAAAAAGAATAAATTCTTAGTAATTTTAAACAAAATTAGCAATGCAGCTTGTCTCGGGTACAACGCTTAAGGGGTGATAGCATATTCCCTTTTATGTAACCAATCTCATATCATAGTGTCTTTATTGATCAATTAGGGTTTCTAATGACCATAATTCTAGACGAGAACTTGTTGAACTAGACCTTTCCCTAAAGAATGAGATGTCATATATTCATTCTTTGATCAATAAATAAATTGAATTTTTTTAATTGGTTGCCGCGATGTCTAAATATGACAAGCATGATAAGATCATGACACTAATTATATATGTAGATGACATGGTGATTACAAGAAATGATCCCAAGGAAAGGAAGAATTTACAGAGTTACTTGTCTAGAAAATATGAAATGAAAGATCTTGATCCTTTGAAATATTAAGTGTCTATATCTAAAAAAGGTATTTTTATTTATCAAATAAAATATACCTTTGATTTGCTACAAGAAACTAATATGATAGTATGTCAACCAGCTAATACACAAGTGAAAAAAGGTTTAAAATTATGTATTGACTGTAATCAAATACCAGTTAATAAAAAAAATTCAAAGACTTATTAGAAGATTGACATACTTAGCACACATAAGGTAGACCTTACTTATTCAATGAGTATTATCATTCAATTCATGTATAATCCTAGAGTGTAACATATGAATACAATTATATGTATTTTGAAGTATTTGAAGGCTACTTTTGAAAAAGGAATATTATTCACTAAAAATGCAAATTGTCAAAGTGTAGATATATATGTACTGATGTTGACTGGGCTATAGCAATAAATGATAAACAATTTACTTCAAGATATTTCATCTTTTTAGATGGAAATCTTATTATATGGAGAAGTAAAAAAGAAAAATGTAGTCACACGCTTACGTGTAGAAGTTGAATTTAAAAATATGTCTTTTAGAATGTCACACCCAAATATTAAGGCGACCTTAAAAATTAGTCTGAAAAAAAACAGATTTCTAGCATTCTATTCTTTGATATGGAATTGTATTATTTAAGGTGTCGCCACCTAGCATTATGGTTACTAAGAATCCTAACTGGTCAATAGAGATTTTATGGTACAAGACTGATTATGCAAAAAAAAAAATATTATCACCCCTTGAGCATCCTACTTAAGGTGAGCTACATTACTGACTTTGTCATAAATTGCTAATGTTTTTTTGGTTTATGCTACTATAGTTTTGTGTGTAATATTTCTGACTCTGATGCTAGTAAATATTTAACTACGAATATTTCTAACCCTAGCATTGGTAAATATTACGTAGCTATAAAAATAAAATAAATTTAAATTGGTATTTTTCATTCCCGACTCTAGCATCAATGAATAAACAAATCAAATAAATTCATTCCCGACTCTAGTATCAATGAATAAACAAATCAAATAAATTTATTTTTATGCATCACATAAAAAAATAAATTTAAATCAGTATTTTTATTCTCAACTCTAGCGTCAGTGAATAAAAAAATCAAATAAATGTATTTTTTAAGCATACATATTTTTTTATGTAACTAAATAAAAATAAAATAAAATAAAATAAATTTACATCAGTATCTTTATTCATGACTTTGGTGTTAGTAAATAAACTAATAAATTCAAATACAATGAAATAAATTTGAATTAATATTTTTATTATGATCCTAGCGTCAATAAATAAAAAACAATAAATTTTCTATTTATACATACATTATTTTATTTATTTTATTTCCATTTTTGGGCTGGGTTGGGCTAGGCCTAGCCAGCCTTGCCCATATTTTATTTTTAGGGCTGGGCCAACTCAGCCCATATAGGCCCAGCTAGTCCGCCCTAGCCACTGGCCGAAGCTAGTGGCCTAACTGGACATGGTGGTGCCCCTCGCCTTTTTCCTTCTGCTTTCTCTTTTGCTCCTGTGCCCACGATCTGCTTTCATCCTCCAACAAAATTGAAAGGATGAAAGAATCAACAGTGAAGACATTGGTTTACTGTGGATGTCAATTATTGAGTCTTTTTTTGTTTTTATTGTTGCAAGGATAAAAAAATGGCGAGAACAATCCTTGTTTGTGTGTATGCTGCCCTTTCTTCCTTTCTCTCTGCATGATGCTCTGTGGTTTTTTTTTTTGTTTTTTTTCCTTTTTTTGTTTTTTCTTTGGTTTTCTGGGTTGGTTCTTCTTCTCTCTGTATTTTTTTCATCTGGATTTATGCTCTATTTTGCTCTACTTTTTTGCTTTATTTTTTTAACTCTCCTCCCCTTTGTCCCTTCTCAACTCTACCTTTTTATAAGGCCAGCAAGCTTGCCCCTAAACCAGTCCTGCCTTTGCAGGACTGTTATCCCTCCACGAACGGGATTGTGGGCAGAGGATATGGTCACAATTGGGTTGACTTTGCTACCAACTTTCCAGCTTTCCCGTTGAATCGGATTGAAGAAGACGCATGACTATTCCCTAACAACGATGCTGTTTTAGCAAAAATTGAGTTTTCACTTTGACCCCTGCTTCTGGAAATCTAACAATTGGATCCTTAATAATTAAAGATTTCTTTTAATTGTTCCTTTTGATAAATTTCAAATGAATCCTAGTTAAATGTTATTTACACAACAGTCCTAGGTTTCTAAAATATTCAATTTGGTCCTTAAATTATAATTTTATGCAATTTTGCCTTTAATCAGCTTCAAAAATTTCAATTAAATATCTGATTTATTTAATTAATTAAAAAAAAGTTTAATTAAGTCACAAAAATATTAATTTTTTAATTAAACCCTTGATTTTATTAATTAAACTAATCTAAAATTTAATTAAATTTTCAAACTTATTAATTCTTCCATTATTGATCAATTGGCTCTTAAATTTAATAATTTCATTCTTGAACTTTAAATTTTATGTTGTCAATTCCATTTATTATTTATTCAAAAATTGAGTTATGATATAGAATTTATAAAGCATTATAACTAAGACTTTTCTTAAGTAATTTGAGCTATCCTTCTGAGTAACCAATTCAATTATATTATGACAATAAAATAACATTTGATATTGCTTATTATCCCATTCAATATGATCAAATAAAATATATGGAGGTAGATAGATTCTTTATCAAAGAAAATTTGATGAGAAAATTATGAAGTTACTTAAAATTTAATTTGAAAATTAATTAGTGATGTTATCATTAAAGCAATTTCAAATTAAGTGTTCTCAAAGTTATTGGACAAGTTAGCTATGTGTGATATTTATCAACTTGAGAAGAGTGTTGGAATACTGTGATTCTTTTTTTATGTGGTGAATCTTGCCTTTCATAGTACTAGTGTATATGCTAGCACTCGTGTAAATGCTATGATAACTTGATTGTGGGATCAATGACTTAATTATTGGAACAATAGCTTAATTGTAGGATTAGTATTATTGATTCATTACTATATATGTACCTATACATGTACCTATATTTAATTTCAAGTCATATATGTAATCTAGATTTTACATTTACATATGATTTGTTAACACCTTAAAAAACTAAACAAATAAATAAATACAAGAAAATAAGAAAAGGGGAAAAAAAGAGAGAAAGAGGAGAATGGTATGGCATTATCGCAGGAGCTGTGTTTGTTCTTGTACAAGTTGTTTTTTTTCTTATCTCAAATATTTATTTAATTAATTACTATACACTAATGTCTATTGTTATGCATATGCTCTTAATTAAGCATACAAACATTAATTGGGCCCCTTATATAACAGAATTCAATTAAAGAGACATGGACCGTCCATTAGATATATACCCCCCAGGCCTCTTAGATAGCAGAGTTGCATACAAGAGACATGGGTCTATCCATTAGACATACATCCCATCTTTTACTGAACGACTGCCAGCTTCGAAGCCTAGCTGATATGGGCGAGTTTGCTGATTAACCATAAAGCCATGACACCCTCAGAAACAGCACCATGTCTCCCCTTTCCCTAGTTATATCATCAGTGTATGTGAAACTGTTCACATGATTCACACATGCATGCATAGTAAGGTTATTTTCCAAATTCAGGCTTCCAAGCAAGAAAGAAAATGGAGATTGTTTAATTTACCTGGAAAATAATGGGCAATCGCTTTTCTGTTGCTGAGCGAAAGTTAAAAAGGAAAAGTAAAAAAAGAAAGAAGAGTTAATGTGCACGTAGATGCTCCCTACAGACTTGCGACTAAAATTAATTATACTAGTGATTAATTGGAAGATAACCTATATACGTACTCCTCAAAATTTTTGTGGTGGAAATTAATCTGTAGTCTATCTTTTTCCAGTTTTCATTCATATATATATATATATATATATATGTATGTATGTATATAGACCGCGCGCAGGAGTATACAACAATAGCACATGGAATTGCAAAAATAAAAATATATATTAATGATATGATGCATAAACTAGCTAGTTAGGGAAGAACATCTGTATGTAAGTGTATAATATTTACCTCTGAAATGGAGTAGGTTCTTGGTGGAAGGAGGTAGCTAGGCAGGCAACTCGTAAAATGAAGGGTTAAGTAGTAATAATATCACCAGATAGAAGGCCTGGAATGCGGAGCAAAAAGTAGCATGTAGCCATGGACAACTTGCCAACTAATAATTACTTGCTAGTAGTTAATTTGTGGTGACTGATCAGATTAATATATAGTAGTAGTAATTTTGACTGCAGATGCATTAATTTATACAGATCAGTTAAGTCGGCAAGTCATCCTTGGCTGCATACCACTTTCTGCTCTTACATACGAGGCCATGGATGAATAATATTTAATGGTGAAAGCAAGCATACAAGGTATACGAAGCAATTAACTAGCTAGCTAGGCCAATTAATACTCACTATATATATATGTATATTGTGTGTGTGTGTGTGTGTGTGTGTGTATTACTGGCTCGTAATTAATTGACTACAAATCATCGAAGAGAAATATATATAGAAAGAGGTCGGTCGAGGCGAGGGATCGGATCAGATCAGAAGCTAGCTTGAAGGGAAGAGGAGAGAGCTCTCTAGCTATACGTGAGCTTAATTTGCTAATTCTGACTAGAATGTGCTAATGGATTGGACAATCAGTATATATACCGAGAGGAGGAGAGGTTGGTATACACTAGAAGAAGAATCCTGCCTTACACACACACTCACACGCAGTGAATGTACGCGCTCCTACGTACTTGGTGTTGTTGTGTACATTATAAATATCCTGAGAGCTATATACTCCAGTCTCCACATTACAGCATATATATATGACGGAAGGAAGTAATATATGACATTAACAAATTTACGCCAATTAACAAATATGTTAATGTATAAGGAAAACCTGATTAGGTATACTAGCTAGGGGCAGTGGGGGAAAAAAGATGTTTATTGGAGGACGTAGGCTAGTAGCTAGTTGGGATATTGGGGTAGGAGGGGGAGTGGTAGAGGAAACATGCGACTGCGAGAGGTGATCAGAATGAGGGAACTGCTGCTGCATGCATGTTTGTACGAACAATATTAGTATTGTAAGCTGAAGGAGTAGTTTTTGTAAGGCTGCAAATTAAGGAAATTAATCTTGGGAAATGTAGGTGACTGGCTCGAACAGCAAGGGAAGCCCTGAGGACGTGCGTGTTGCTGCGTTGGCTCTTCGCATTTTTTAACATATATAGACAACACTCAATCAACAACAACAACTCAGGCAGAGGGAAGTAACCCCTGCACGTTTTTCCTTCTTCCGCAAAAAGAGAATATATATATATTTTACGATCTTAATTAGTTTCTCTCGTTAATCTTAGAATTGCCATGTAGCTAAACACATGGTCAAGTATAAATTAAGGTGGGTCGGTCTCGCGACTCACAATGGCAGTCTGTGGGAATGCAGCCAGCAGAACCAGAAGCTGATAGTGAAAGAAAAGAAGAGACATTGATTAAGAGTTATAGCTACCTCCATTTATTTATGCCTAGCTAGGGCACCAGACGGATATTTGAACTTAACGTGTGGGTTTCAGAGAGGGGAGAAACTGGCAAATCGATAGCTAGCTAGCTAGCAAGCAGATCAAGATTTCAGAAAGACAACGGCTTTATGGTCTTAATTAGAGAGGCAAGTATTTTTCTTAAGTTTTTTTCATTTTATAATGCATCATAATAATTTTTTATTTATTTTTAACTTTAAAATCATATATATATATATATATATATATATATATATATATATATATATATATATATATATATATATATATATATATATATATATATAAAATGCATTTTTAAAGCATACACGCGCAGTTAGAAATGCAATACAAACAGGCACTTGAACAAAAGCCAGCCACGCCTCGGAATCAAGATTGCTGATTCCAATAATTATTAGTAATCAATCATTCATCCTGTTATTGAGCAAACTAATCTCTCAAGAACAAATAGACACAGACGCTTTGGAACTGGAACTCCAAGCATATCCCGCGCTGCACCATATTTTCATTTGCTTGCCCAAAAACAAAGAACGAGTCTGAACAATAAATTAAAAAAAAAGGCCAAATTAACACAAGTACCAAGGCAATTATTCCATTATCATCAATTCCTGGAAGCTAGGGAAATCTTTAAGCACATAGAATCCAAGCAAACAAGGAAAAACCATAATAATATCCAATGGTTATCATTTCCTATCACTTGCTGTAATAGATAGATCACGAAGAAGACAAGACAGAATCATTCATTAAGACGAGACGTCAATCTGAGGTCAATAGTGATCATAACAGAGCTTTATATTGATAAGCAAACACTTTCAAGTCATTTCCACCACAAGTTCATATCATTGCAGCGGCTAGATTTTCAATGGATATACAGACCACTTAACAAAACCTCCTCAAATCAAGAATAGACCCTACACGGCACATGGACAGCAAGAGGGTACATGATACAGTGTGTTAACAAAAACAATAAAATGCTCCATTATTACCATCATAAGATAACAGTTGTTTAAATAATACAAGACAGCATCTCCGTTCAGTGACAACTATATATAACAACCATACTAATCTCTTTCACAAATGCCCACGACAAAAGTACTTGGTAGTACAAAACAAAGGCATCATCTCCCCACATGCAACCGATTAAGAGTCTTGGGGAGCCTCAAATCTTGTTGGCGTGTCAATGCCCATCATACAGCAAAGGCCTGATATCAAAATGATAAGCAAAACAATCCCCTGGTGCATCACAAGCAACCACGATATCAGGACCTCATAAACATGGTGACATAATGGACTACAGAGAAACTCTGGGCACAAGGATATCAAGAAAATGAGTATAATGAACCATAGCAGCATAGACAAACAGCAGAAATTCATGCATAAGATTAGGGGCTGTCAAGTTTATAAAATTTACTTGGACTGCTTGGATACTCACAAAAAGATAACACAAGGAAAAAGAGAAGAGAAAGAAATCTCCCCTTTAAGTTAAGACGCCTCTACAATAATGCTGAATCAACTTCACAATAAGCTTGGGAGAATCAAGAATGTATGAATTCATGGAAGAAGCTAAAACTACAAGGGTAGCTCTAAATGCCATGAACTCACTGGAGATTGACTAGAGAGGGAACTCAAATATCTTGTTAGATTTCAAAGTAGATTTTTGCCTTCTAAAATCAGCACTTAGTCTTGGGCCCACTTTATGATATGAGGGATTATCGATAACTAAGATTTGATTTAGCTTCCAAACTCAACTTTATTGCCACTAATAGAGCCACAAAAGGAAATAAATAGGGAATAGATTTAGAAATGGTCATAGATAAGTTTAACTGGTAATGTTTGGGGAATAATCAAAGAATTCTCCTTTGAGGCATTTCTCGCAGGTGTATTATAGTGGGATGACAAGATGTCATAGAATTAAGTTATATTGGCCAACCCACTGCTTAGACTTTATTCTGTTTCTCCATTATTTCTTCTAGTCCAGGATGGTATTGCTCTTGTACTCACCTTGTGTCATACTTGAGAACCATGTGAATGTTGGAGTTTGCTCAATAATTTACTTAATAAAAGAAAACTTTTTTCTTCTTCAAGGGCATGAGATGGAGAAAATCAAAACACTCCTGATGACTACTAGAAGTTTACCATTAAAAATCAGGTCATCACCAATGACCACAGCCTACATGATATACCAAAAAGTCTTTCTATTCAACTTAGGCACGGAAGAAAAAAAGCACTATCATGAAAAAGCATACCTATGAAAGGCTAACAGGGAAACTTACAACTAAAACTCCTTCCAAAAGTGATGATTTGATCTGGCAAACTTCATCGCAGTGTGTGGAATTCAGTGATGCATTTCCTGCAGCACTTTCAGCAAGAAACCTTTCTAGCTCTCGATGATAAGGAAGGTGGATTGATCGGAAGGGATCTGAAACATAGAGAACAGAATATTTCCCCCCCAACATCTCCACAGAGCTGATGAGCTCAGAGAAAATTTCACCTGCATATATCCAGTTAATATATATATGTTTAAGCATTTCTCTGGCAAAGACATAACTTTGAACAAACAGTTTTGATATCATCTAGCAATAAAAAAAATCAACATACTTTCACTTTGTGGTTGGTCAAGTCTTTTCATTGAATTGGAGCCTCCATAACAGAATACAACCAGGTCAGTATGGCCAGTAGGCCTCTTCTCCATCCTTGAAGCCAGATAGTCCTGCACGTTTTTAATGGTCAAGAAAGTAAGAGGTCTATCATACACCCAAAATTCCAAAACTAGTCATCAAACATTTCAATTTCATTTACGTTGATGGCGTGCAGGTTTGCAAGCTTTTGAAAGTTTTCACCCTCTACAGAACATGACTCTGAAAAAGCAACATTACTGATTCCTAAATCCTGCCCACAAGCTTCTGCAAACCCAGAAACCAATGAATTCTCCATTGCCTCCTCTGAAGCAGCAACATAAGGAAATGCCATGGAAAAATTGGACTCAGTATAAGAAACCTGTTCAGAGTAGGAATGCTGACTATCAGAACACAAACAGGCAGGACTACAGCAAAATTATGCAAATCATGTTCTGTTGATTTCAATTAAGAAACCATTCCAAAAAAGTTAAGAGAGGCTTTGGTTACCTTGAGCAAGTTCACAAGAGCTGGATCTGTGTTTTTGTTTGCAGAAACATCAGTGGAAAGCAGCTGTAGAAAACAAAAGGTGTGCAATTAATGGCCTGGGCCTTTAAAAACAGCAAAAAGTTTGCAGCATATTGCATTTCCAATGAATTATCAAACTACCAAAGTGCAAAGTTATCAACAACAACCAGATAACATGCAACCAGAACCTAGTTTGGTTGCATAATACCACAATAAAATTAGCATAAGAACAACATAAGAGAATAGCCCCTGCAGCATGTTCACTAGATCAGGCCTACAGAAATAAAAATTGTTATTGAACTCATGCAATGTCATCATATTTGACCTATGATAAGCCCCAAAACTTCTTACCCCCCTGCCAATAAATACAAGCGCCAGATCCACAGATTGCTGAACTTTCTTTTCTGAGCACTACAAGGAAAAAAAATGAAACAAAAAGTGAAGAAGGACTTTTCATATCTTTACGATTCTTTTGAAGAAAATGTGTTTGGAATTTATAACACTGAAAAAATTTGCAACAAGCTATCAGCATAAAGGAGGGTTTAGTACCAGTAAGTTTGACCAGCCTCCTTCAGACAGAACTGACCTGGCAAGATCTTTTGAAGAAATGGTCTGATAATTCACTACTTCACTTATTCTGTTGTTTGAAAACCCATGATCAGAATCTAACATATTTAAAGATACCACTCACAGAAGAATATGCAGCAAGGGTGTAGCATTTTGAGTCCAATAGGTGGCACGGCAAACAAAAAGATTAATATAACGTATCCCATATGCAGAAGCAGTTGTATTAGCATTTAGTTGAGGTTTAAGGGATGAATTGATCTTCACTTTCTTTTTTTCTTTTTCGGGAAATCTTTTACTGCTACATGAATTTCAATAGAATTGATTGTATTATCCAACAGCTTTACCATGGAACAATATAAAAACTGAAAAGGGAAGCATATGCCTAACTTAAAGAGCTAATGAGATATCAAAATGGTGTTTTATAATTTGGGTCAGTATTGCTACGTAAAATAGGATAGCATATGCTATCCAGATATTGACGATGAGACAGTGCCAATTTATCATGCTAGAATTTCAAGAAAAACAGGTAATTGGTTTGAATTGGAAAATGAAAAGCAAAAGGCAAAGGTAAGGAACAGTAGATGCATACTGATGATGAGGATGATGAGGAGACCAGAGGAAAGCTGGGACAGTAGTTGATGATGGAGAAGAGGCGTGCAGGAATGAAAGGCGAGATGCAGCAGCAACCACCGTTAACCACCATATCGCAGCAACAGCTCCCATTCTCATTGTCGACAAATCCTTTCTTCTTCGTTTAACAGCAAAATCATTAAAATATATTAAACTTTGCAAAATAAAAATAAAAAACCCATCCAACAGAAACAATCACCAGATTTGTAATCAATTTCATATAAAAGCGATACAGATCAAACCAATAATAGTAGAAAATTTGAAATGAATGAACACATCATAGCAAAACAAAAAATAAAAATAAATAACTAACCAGAGACGGGAGGGGAGGGGAGGTGATGGATGGATGTAGAGCAAATCAAAATCCCTTCTTTCTTCCTTTTATTACTTAAAAACAGCTCCTCTGATTCGTCGAGATTAATAGTTGATCCTCTCTCTCACACACACGCACACAATCGAGATCCAGAACTTTTTAGTTTGTATTTTCATCTCAAATAAAACAAAATCAATAAAACGGATTGATTTGACGAAGGAAGGAGCGTGCATACAAAGAAACAAGCCCACTCACTAGACCCATTGGCATGGGTGATGGGCCGTTAAGCCCATTATTTTCATCCTGATAAAGCCCACAAAACTCTATGATCCTTATAAAAGGCCCCGCTCGGCCCCCATTAATGATATTGTTGCTGGCTAAAGCAGAATGATGTTTTTCTACTTGATTCTAGAATTGTCCCAGACCAGCCCATCCCAGCCCAGACCAGCCCATAAAGATAGTGGCACTGGTTAGTTTTACGGTTTGCTCAACGGATCCAGGCCATCGTAGCTGACTCCCACGGTTGGCTTGGTTGGGAACAAGAAAGGGCAAACAAAAAAAAAAAAAAGGAAAAAAAGAATGTTCTCCACACACACCAGACCGTTGCAATAGTTTAACCAAGTTCGAGTAAAGATATACACAAGCTCATCCCCATATCCACATTAATCTAAAAAAAATATTATTAACACTCTAACTAACCACCATTTAATGGACTCAGTAACCAGCCAGCCAGCCATCTCCTTTTATTTTCACCCAATTAACTTAAAAATGGTTTCTGCTTGTATGTCTATATGCTTACCATTGATGACTCTAATTAGCTAGCTATTTACATACTGTCAGTGCAACCGGCATCGCCATTTCTGCCCGCCCACCAGTACTCTTGAATTAATAAGGAGCTAGCTAGGAGCTTGGATGCTGATCGATCAGGTCCTCATCGTACAGATAGTAGCTAATTGCTCGAATATTTCCCAAGCTCGTATTTGCACTTTAAAATGTAGCTAGCTAGTAGATGACAATCATAACACTGAAGGATCCATATTCCAATCCAAGTTAATTAAGATGATCATCAAAACCACGGCCAGACATTATTACTACAGACTACTTTTAATAATCATGAGTTAAGACCTTCAGTTTTGCAGGTGTGGTAATGGGAAAGAACCCTGTGATCAATGTTCCCTCCCTTCCTCCAGTGTCATGTATCATGTGACTGCTATTAAGGCCTTGGCTCAAAGCCGCACCGCTCCCTGTCACAGCATTCACGTTCTTAATTTAGTGTTCACCCATCAACAGCCTGTCGGTCATGATCTTTCCTTGGGTACCCGGCAAAACCTCACCTCTCCTTGTCAAGCCTGGCCGGCTTGTAAATGCTGGCAGTACTATTATAGCTATAGCTAACTGCCCAACTCTTGCCAATGAAAGATCTGTCCTAATTCTTCCTCCTTAAGAACTATCTAGGAGCCAAGATGAAGAAAGGGATTCGGAATTTTTGTAACGGTGATGCCTCAACTTCTACACTCGATCAACACAACAAGGCCAATTATACCGCCGATGATCACCATTGCTTTGTCACCTCTCCTTACACCCACATGAATCATGCAGATACAGCGCAACAAGGCTCACCAACACTGGAGCAGATGATATTGCAGTTAGAGTTAGAAGAGGAGTTTGCAAGAAAAGCTAAGCTCAACAACTATGTTGATGTCGGTTTGCGGGCTGGTAGAATGTCATGTGTTAACAATTCTGATATCTTGCGATCTGCGAGGAACGCATTGAGTCAATATCCTCGCTTCTCTCTCGATGGAAAGGATGCCATGTATCGGTCTTCTTTCCGGAACTTGGATTCTGTTAGTAAGGCAGCAGCTGGCAGGAAATCAGTCTGCTGTGATCATGGACTGAGAGAACGAATGAATAGAAACAATCTTGGTGCTAAGTTTGAGAGGAAGTTGAGTTTGCCACTAACTTTGGCTGGGGAAAGAGTGGTATGGTGCAAACCAGGAGTGGTAGCAAAGTTGATGGGTCTCGAGGCAATGCCAGTACCAATCAACAGCAGAGAAGATAAAGAGACGTTAGCTTCCATCATAAAGAGGCAAAATCTTAGGAGAAGAGCTGAAAGACATGAAATAGAAAGAAGACTGGCCGGAGATGTGAGCGCTTTCGATGGAATCAAGAGAGGGAGATCATCTATGCCTTCCTGTTCAAGGCCTGGATATTGTGTGACGAAACCGGTTGCAGTAGAGCCTGCTAACGACGGAGGAGGTTGGCCAACCCGGAGAAATCGTTAGATGCTAATTAATCAATCCATCTGTAGCCAGCTGGGAACAGTCATCAACTGTGGTTGCATTTTGTTACCTTTGATCAATCCTACGTGTGGAAACGCTGCCACATTGTAACAAGTGTTGCCAGAAACGGAAATCGCACTCGATCTGAATTGCAAGTTTCACAAGTGATTTATTAGTCTATTAGCATAATTAGGAATTCCCAATAGCATTTTAGGAATTCTTATATCGGGTTACGGGAGAAGAAAAGAATCGTCATCCAGTATGAAATGAGTTGCGTTTAAGGAAACAGGTATTAAAAATGCCCCAGGTAATTAAGGTATAAAGAGAGAGCCTCTTCTTAGCTATATACATATCCAGTAAAACCTGTCGTCTCTGACCAACTCTAAATTGATAGGGGTGAAACGAGTTTGTGGCCGCTATTAATTCTATTCAGGATCACTCAACTTGTCAAATTGTATCAGAAAAATGGATTGACAACATACATGCATCACGTCCTAGTTCCACAATATTGTAGTAATTGCGAAGAGTTGTGATCTGGTTCTGCTACAAATTAAGGCCGGATACAAATGAAAAAACTGAAAACCATATACATAACTGCTCATTTTTAAACCCGATACTTCTACCGACCCGACGACATATCATGACCGCAGGTGCATGTAGCTAAACTGCTGAAGTACTGGGGCTTGTACTGTTGACACTCATTCGATCCATTCGTTCTCTGTAGTCAAATTATAAAAGAGTGCTATCTTCTTTTACCAAGTAGGATTGGTCGGCATTTTAATGCCAAACAGGTACTTGGTCATTTGAAAGAAGTGGTTGCTCTGATGACTTACAGTACTCGAATCTTCACGCATCCTGCAAGTCCGATCTGGCCAAGACTTGATTAATTTGTGTATCAAGTTTATATATGGTCTCTTATTTTAGTAAGTACTGGTCAACACTTCAGAACCAACTGGAGGTGACCTTATTCATATAAAACCTGTAAATTAACAGCTAGTATATGACTTCCAAACTTCACAGACACAATTGTATTAATTTCTTTGGTTTCTGATGTAGTTTTGGACTATTCTGCTTGTTTGCTGCTGCCCGCAGGATTTATCGGCATTTTTAACGACAACAAGCATCAGTAAATGATTGTTTATGGCCGGTTGGTTTCTACTTGGGTAAACATTGCTGGTAACTGTGTATATATGTATATATATATACACACACACACATACACACACAGATGACCGTAGGATGCCAAGAATTGTGATATACGTTAAGTACTGTCCCATGTTGAGATACTTGTTTTTAACCTTATTGATCCAGGTATCCCAAGCGTTGTGCAAATTAATGGAGAAATGTACCCGTCTTTGACTCTAATAAATTAGAGTACTTAATTATTTAGGCGGTGGTCAAGTGGTAAAAACTTGGGATTAAGGGGTTTGCTCCCTCTGTGGTCTCAGGTTCGAGTCTTTGGTTGCTCATATGATGGCCACTGGAGGCTTACATGGTCGTTAACTTCAAGGCCCGTGAGATTAGTCGTGGTGCGCGCAAGCTAACCCGGACACCCACGTTAATCTAAAAAAAAATAACGTACTTACATAGCAATATTTATCTCACTAATTAATATTGTTCAAAGAATAATTTACTACTAGTTAAGTATACTCTAGGTCCTTTATTTTGACTTAGTAGAATTAATGATCAGATGATGAGCCTCGCACATGTCTAAAATTAATGGCAATCGCATGCTTATTGCTAATGTCATCTTTTTCCTTCAGCTTTCGCGGCGTGGAATAATGAATCTCCACATAGCAGCTGAGGCTTGCCTGACACAGAAGAAACTTTTGCTCGCTTTATTAGTTTATAATATACCATACATAAAGGAAGAAGCTGCATATATGCTGCTATGCTTAATCAAGATTGCGTAAGTAATGGCAGTTGATGTGGAGATTCCAATCCATGTGGGCTTTTTACAAGGATATCAATTTCATTACTTCTTTTAGGAGCACCGAAGGGCTGGTTTAAAAGATAAAGAGAAGGTACGTAGATGTAACATGTGCAATGTTCTCCATCGGATCGATCCATACATGTATATTTCCCTGAGAAGACTGCAGAGAGCAACCTGCATCACCGTGGAAAGATGAATAGCTAATTAATCATCAGTTACCGATAGTTAAGCATGCGCATGAGCCCCTAATTATATCATAGCACTTTACAGCTTTCTCTTTATTATTTTTCTCACGGATACTAAAATATATCCGCACGGTATGGAAACCAAGCTTTCCATTATCTGCTTCGCGAACAAGATTTATACACATATAAATGCATGCACTTTAAGGATAAGTTCCCATCCTGCATCATCATCATCATGTTCATCCGTGCCCTCAGTTGGTTCTGATCACAAGGTGTAAAGTTTATTACAGCCTATACATGTGGTTACAGCTAAGAATGCTTAACAAAGAGAAGAACAAAGAAAAAAATAAAAATAAAGAAAAGGTCACAAAAAAGGATCGAAAGTTGTGAGCTAGGTAGTGATAAAATATATCAGGCTACTAGTAATTTTTTAAGGTTTGCCTGCACATGCAAACCACTTCCATGTAATCCAAAATAATATAATAAGATCCTGAAATTAAGATGGTCAAGTTTTTCTGCTAATATCCTTGGATATAAAAACCACGCATCAGATTCTTTGTCATAGAAATGCTGCCAAAAGTCAGTGGTGGATTTCCCAACAGAGGGCAAAAGTAAAACTATTTCTTTTTCATTTTTCTGTTTACAGCTTCCAAGAACCATCAATCAAGAATTCAAGATGATAGTTAACAAGTCAAAGAGAATTATCCTTAGATAGCACCCGTTGCCCATGTGCTTAGTCTAGTTGGAGGAGAAAATTAATACATACGACGACTAATATTAGCAACCCTTAATTTGCACAAATGGTTAGTTGATGACGAAGAGTAGGGGTTGAGCTACTCGTACCAGCTTTCGTGCTAATATTCTGTCACTAGCAGCAGCTCCAAAAAGCAGAGGACACGAGTTTGCTTTAAGATGGATACAACGGTGGAGATGACGGGAAAGGGAAAGCTTGGAATTTCAGCCTCTTCCTCTTAGAGACAGATCTTAGAAGAATAGCATAGGGCAATTGACTTAATCTCTCATCTGTCAGACTAAGTGCTGTCCGGTTCTTGTTGTCTCAATTTGGTCCTCGACTAAATTGAATCTCATTCCAGAATCTAACTATAATCACTAAACGATTCACTGTCACGTATATATAGAGTACGTAAAATTAAGCTGACAATTAATTACTAATCACAAGTGCCCCACAATTTATTGTCAGTTAAAATTTAATAATCACTAAACGATTCTTGTTCTTAACTAGATACTTGTATTCTTAGGCTAGTAGGCTGATCAGATTGGAATATGCTACGTACCGATACTGCAACGAAAGCGAAACAATTGATCAAACTGGAATAAATTTGCTGTCCAGAGATTTGGCAATTTCTAAAGAAGGATAATTTTCTGTTGTTTTGTATTTGCCATATAATTACAATCTCTCTTTACTTTGCTTGGATTCGATTCATTTCAACACGCAGGAGTTTCTGGTACAAGTTAACATTTGGAGTGATGCTATTCTCTCAAGTATAGACTCAAAGCTGTTTAAATTTAAAATGCTACAGGCAGGGCAAGTTGAAGTTCACACATTCTGCCTGAGATATCTTACTGCATACACTTGGAGTCGAGACCCCTCTTTAAGAGTATTCCCAAGGTATCTTGGTTTTGAGAGAATGGAGGTCAAAAAGCTCATTGATTGCACCACTAGGCAAGCCTAGAAGGAAGAGGACATTGAAAAAGAAAATGAAATCTTTTTAATATGCAACAGTTTTCAGTTTCTGTTAGCATACTTTTCTCTCAAGTTTCAATTTTTTATTCTTAATTAATTTGCCCATATACTGATACAATATTATAACAATCCACTTCCTCGAGTTGCATTCTTGTCTATATAAACAACTCAATTGCTTCACTTCCTCCCATCACATCCTCTGTAGTTTCCTCACTCGTGCTACCTGCTGCCCGCTGCTGTTTCAATCTTGATCAAGCCATTGTAAGGCCAAACTCTGATCATTTATGTCCCGGCCCCCTCGAATATTTGTCTTTTAACCTCTCTTGTTTATTATCAACTCAATTAATGCTATGTCTCAAAATGTTTTCTTGATTTCTAACTAACCATTATCTTGGTTTTCCATTGTGGAAGGAAAATGGAATGCTTTGGATACACCATAGTGATTCTTCTTACAATGTTAAAGATTGTCAAAGGTTATGGGACTGGGTGGACTGGTGCCCATGCAACATTCTATGGAGGAGGTGATGCATCTGGAACAATGGGTAAGAAATTAAGAAAGAAAAATGATAAAATTCATTTTAATTTCTTGTTTGCTCTTAAATCTGGCCCCCGCTATTTAACTTTTCTCATCGTATATGATTGGTTGCTTCTGCAGGTGGTGCTTGTGGATATGGGAATCTCTATAGCCAGGGGTATGGGACAAACACAGCTGCACTGAGTACCGCTCTCTTCAACAATGGCTTGAGCTGTGGAGCCTGCTATGAGATAAAGTGTGTAAATGACAATATTTGGTGCTTACGAGGGTCCATCATTGTCACAGCCACTAATTTTTGCCCGCCAAACAATGCTCTTCCTAACAATGACGGCGGGTGGTGTAACCCTCCCCAGCAACACTTTGATCTTTCTCAGCCTGTTTTCCAAAAGATCGCCCAGTATAAAGCTGGAATAGTGCCCGTCCAGTACAGAAGGTCTCCACCCTATTTTACTCAACAAATAATATTCATATGATCTGTTTCCATTGTTTTGATATGGTTGTACAGGCTATAATTAACACCAGTTGTTGTCTTTGTTTGTTGTTTGACGATATATATGCAGGGTTGCTTGCAGAAAGAGTGGTGGCATCAGATTCACGATTAATGGGCACTCCTACTTTAATCTGGTGCTGATAACAAATGTTGGAGGAGCTGGTGATGTAGTCGCGGTCTCCATAAAAGGGACAAAAAGCAATTGGCAGGCAATGTCTAGGAACTGGGGCCAGAACTGGCAGAGCAACGCCTATCTGAATAATCAAGCCCTCTCTTTCAAGGTCACAACCAGTGATGGACGAACGGTGGTTTCCAACAACGTGGCTCCATCCAACTGGGCTTTTGGCCAAACCTACACGGGAAGGCAGTTCTAACTTCTCAATCCCACGCCTTAATCTAATAAGATCAAACCAAAATCACAATTTCAAGCACTCAAATTAAACCCTAGCTTTTACCTTTAACTAAACTTCCCTTTAAGTACCTTTTGCCTGTCCTGTTTGTTACTATATATTATGTCCTTGTTTAGTGTTACTAGTACATATGGTGTTTTAAACGTGACATGCATGGCGGGGTTCTTTTGAAAATGCCCCCATACATATCAGTTTTTGCCTGACTCTCGTGGCGTTGTTGGGCTTTAATTTGCTTTACTGGAGGAAGAATCAACCTCTACATCTAGGGGTCTCCTCAGTCTGCAGAGTGCATCTACTGGTATTAATAATTAGATAACCTCTAGCATAGCAACTTGAGCTAAGTGTAAGGGGGTTTTGTTGTGTTTGTTTCTTCTTTTGTTGAAAGCTCGGCTGAGGTGAACAAAAGATTTTCACCCGCCCAAAGACGGAATCCTTTTGAAATAGGGATACATGCGTGTGGTTTCAGACCTGTAACAGAGTTAATTACTATAAAGAGAGGAAATGAAGAGATGTCCAAGGGCGATCTTTTTTCTGCTCAGGCATTGAGTGAGTTGTAATTAGGAGTTGTTGTTAATGCATACACAGCTTCCTATGTATCTTGAACTTCGATATTAATTATAAAAGAAGGTAAGTATTGGAGCGTGGTTTGTTTATTTTAAGGCTTAGTCTCTTGTAAAATCGACCATTACTACAAATACAACTGATCATGAGATTTGCAGTGCAGCTTGCAAACAGTAAGTGCCTGTACTGTTGTGGACTGATACTGGTTTCAACTTTCTGATATATCATCATGTGTCATCCATCGTGTCAAATCTTGGGTTGAGGGGATAAGAGTAATTAATGTGCACGAAAGTCTGATGAGGATTCGGAAATCAATATCTTGGTAAATGCAGCATTATAAAAGCAAAAGCTTCACAGCTTTTGCTGAATCTTGAAGATCATGCCAGCAGATTTACAGCAAGACCTCCGCCACAAAAAACTGCACGCTGTAACACCAGGGGTAAAACAAAAAAAATGCCAGAGCTGGATTTTCACGAAGTGCAACATAGGTAGAGGATTAATGATTCAAGAAAGAAGGGAAAACTTCAACTTAGTCCCTATTCTCAATTACATCCCAATCCTATAAAAGTTATCAATTAGGTCCCAAGTATTTTGCACATCTCTCAATTGGGGTCCTTTTGTTGATTAATATTAATATTTTCCATCTCATATGCATACTTAAGAATCTTTTTTAATAAAATGTGACAGAAAAGTTGATGAGCATGGATTAAATCGAAGGACTTGATTAAGAGTTTCCGGACCAAACTGATAAAATATATAGGATGGGATGAGAGTGATTTATATAGTCTTAAGAATTAAAATGACGTATCCTCGAGAAAGAAAGAGAGAAAGAAAGAAGGGAAGTATTAATGTTCATGTTGGTGCTGCAAATGTTCCTGGTGACCTTGGTGGTAAACCTTTTCTCGTGAAGGATACCGCTGGCGAATCAACCTGTAGACCACCTCTTGATGCAGAACAGAGAGGTTTGATTGTGCCAGGTACAACTGAGGCATACCTGCATTTCAAAGTTCACTGTTATCATCTCACCATAAATTTTTCTCAGCAATGTCTCCAAACCATAGACCCAAGTTGTTAAAAGATGACTACAAAAACTAATCCCTGAGGAGTTCAGAGCCATACTTATCAAAACAATTTGGTAGTGTATGTATATTTTTCCTTATGCTGAATGCTATGGACAAAATCCTATTCTGACTCTATAGCCTAGCAAAAATTGAGAGGCAGCATTGCAAGATAGAATCTATGGAGATTCTTAAATTTTAATTTCTATCCTGTTAATCAAGTAAAACTTTAGTCGTGTGAATCTCACAAGCATGTACCAGCATTATAAGCCAGCATATCTAAGTTTCTCATATGTTTACATTTTACATGATTGGCTTGTTACCACATATGTACTTGTATGCCGACATAACTGTGTCTGTGTGTGTCCAAGATTTTCCTTTGCGATCTTGGTTGTTTCTTTATCTATTTCTTTTGGGGAATGGGGATGAGGTGTTTCTAGTTTTCCCAAGTGCAGTGTATTTTCCCTGTACTGTCCTTTAAGAAAATCTTATGCTCCAGATTAAAGATATGGCCGAAGAATTGGATAAGCTTCTGGAATGCATTGATGAACCAGGTGGTTTCAGGGATGCCTGCACTGTATTTCTTAGAAGCTCAGTTGAAGCTTTGGAGGAGGCTCATTGTTATTTCTTGGTTCAGCTATCATGTATCATTATCAACTGTAGCTTTGACTTCTTGTTCTGTTAGTTGATATATTCACTCCAAAATTATCCCTTCTTAGAATAGAGTAACAGGCTCTTTAATCCTTCAAGTTTGTAACTGTAAAGCGAGATTGGGATGGGAGAAAGCTTTGTGGCTTTTCATCTCCTAGGAATAGTATCACAGCAAAATCATCACCTACATTACTATCCTCCTAAAGTTCAAACAACTTGTTTTTTATTAATCATAAGAGAAGAAAGTTGTAGTAGGAGTATCTTTTGAGTGACACCCTTCTGAGCTGACCATCTACGAAACTATGGCATTTTAATTCGGATGTGAAATATGATTTTCCATGGTAACAGTCTATTCAGATCTGCATATCTGTAAGCATGCACATTTCTGTATGCTGTATAAGGTGTGTCATGAAGTTTGTAGTTTGCTTCAAGTGTTTCATTGATGTCTTAATGTTCATTGCAGAACATGATGGATGAGCGGCTTGGAGAGATCCAACATGTTCTATATAAAACTGTGCAAGGTATTCTTCAGTTTTGGAAATGCTTGTTATTACTGGTATTGGGTCATTCAAATAATTAAACAATTCAGCAACTTGTCTACTCCATAAAGCTACTGATTTGTATTAATCACTCAAAAAAATAATACAAACAAAAAGAAGAAGAAAATTCTTCTCAACTCAACTCTATACTCAAGCTCTCTCTACAGCTCTCTTTCTCTCTCTCTTGTTTTTTCTCTCTATATCTCAGCTCTTCAGTGTATTTATTTATAGACAAAGTTGATGAGACATGGGGTATAAATCATGCCATGATTTATGCCACTAAATAAGCCTTTATTATATGCCAAGTGGGAGATTAGGTATTCTCACTTGCATATAATGGAGGTGAGATAATATTTGTCTCCACTAACAATCTTTCACTTGGAGACAAACAATAAAATTATCTTTTATCCTTAAAGACTAATTGAAGTTTTACATATTTTCAGTTTATCAAGTGTAACTCCTTTAGTTAATATATCAGCAAGATTCTTACTTCCACAAACATTTTCTAACATTAGTCTTCATCGTCTAGCAATTGTGGGATGAAGTGGCATTTGATCTGAATATGCTTAGTCATAGAGTGAAATGTTGGCTTAGCAAGGAAGATTGTACTTTGATTGTCGCTATACAAAGTACCATTTCCATTCATCTTGCCCAATTATTTCAGGAAACTCTATAGCCATATTATCTCTTTTGCAGATTCTAAAACTACAACATATTCAACTTTTATTGTTAAAAGAGCGACTATCTTTTACAAGGTAGAACTCCAAGAAACAGCAGTATCTTCCAGAGTATATATATCCTGTAGTACTCTTTCTGCTATCAACATCTCCTGCTAGATCAGTGTCCATGAAACCTTTAAATTTCAAACCACTAGCTATGAAGGATGAACCTTTTAAGTACCTCATGATCTATTTTACCGCCTTCCAATGATGCTTTCCAGGATTACTTATATATCAGCTTATAACTCCTACTGCATGGGCAATGTCTAGTCTAATACAGACCATAACATACATTAAAGAGCCAGTAGTTGAGGCATATGAAATCTTATCCATGTATACATATTCTAGCTAAATTTTTGGTGACTGGTCTTTGCTAAGCTTGAAATGATTCTCCAGAAGTGTACTTACTAGTTTAACATTATTCATACTAAACTTGCTCAGAACCTTCTTGACATACTATATTTGTGAAAGCTTTAGTATGCATTTGTATTTATTTCTTATGATTCTCATGCCAAGTATTTGTTTAGCAGCTCTTAGATTCTTTATTTCAAACTGTTTTGACAACTATTATTTTAACTTATCAGTCTTTTCCATGGTGGATCCTACAATCAACATATCATCCACACATAATAGTAGAATGATATAGGAGTTGTCAAAATATTTGACATAGCAAGAATGATCAGCCTGGCATCTTGTGCATCCCGAAATACACATGAAGTTGTCAAACTTCTTATACCACTGTCTTAGAATTTGCTTCAAACCGTATAGGCTTTTCTTTAGCTTGCAGACTTGGTTCTCCTTTTGTTATATTGCAAACCTTTTTGGTTGTTGCATGTAAATGTCTTTCTCCAATGCACCATGAAGAAATGTTGTTTTTTACATCTAATTATTCAAGATGTAAATTTTTTGCAGTTACTATTCAAAACAACTCTGATTGTTGTGAGCTTCACAACTGGAAAAAATATCTCAGAGTAGTTAATTCCTTTCTTTTGTTGAAACCTTTTTACAACAAGTTTTGCCTTAAACTGTTTACTTCTGTCATGCTTCTTTACTATGTAAACCCACTTGTTTTGCAAAGCCTTCTTTCCTTCAGGTAATGTGGTTAACTCTTCAGTCTTGTTTTTTAACAACGAATACTTCTCATTCTTCATGGCTAACTCCCACTTACTTGAGTTTCCATCTTGTAAAGATTCTTTATAAGTTAGTGGTTCACCACCATCTATCAACAAAATATAATTCAGTAGAAGTGTGAACCGTTATGGAGGCTTTACAGTCATTAAAGACCTGAAAACATAAACAGTTGGTTCATTTGGCTCTGCATCTTTATGTGTAGTAGTGGGTACATATGTGCTTGAATCTTCTTATAAAGACTCTTGAGTTTTGTTCTGCTCGGCAACATCGCAAAGCCCTTTTAATCTTATGAATTCAAATTTTTATGGACTTGCATTTGAATCAGCCATATCTGTTTCTACACTTGATCTGTCTTTGTACAAAAATTTCTCATTGAAGATCACGTTCCTGCTTCTGATCATCTTTCTGTTCTGATCATCCCATAACCAAAATCCAAATTCTTCATCTCCATAGCTAATGAAGAAACATTTCTTAGAGTTAGCATCTAGCTTCTTGCGAGCATCATAATCTATATGCACATAGAAAACACACCAAAAGACATTTAAATAAGAGAATTGTACTTCTTTTCCTCTCCATACTTCATTGGCCAGTCTGAACTCCAAAGGAACTGATGGTCCACGGTTGATCAAGTAAACTGCAGTATGAATTGCATCAGCTCAAAATATTTGAGGTAACCCAGAATGCAACTTCATGCTTCTAGCTCATTTATTGATGGTCCTCTTCATCAGTTTAACAATTTCATTTTGTTATGGTATGCCTGGAACGGTCTTTTCTATTCTGATACCTTTGATAGCGCAACACTCTTTGAAACCTCCAAATGTATTCTCCTCCATTATCAGATCTTAAGCATTTCAACTTCAAACCTGATCGATCTTAACCATAGCCTTCTATTTCCTAAATGTTTCAAACACATCAGATTTATTTTTTAAAAAGCAAACCCATACCTTTCTACTAAAATCATTAATGAAAGCCACACAATACCAAGAACCTCTAA